CGCCTGAACGCTAGCTGGTCAATAAAGGGCCATTTCCGAAGGGGAAGTCTCCCGCTTAAAATAGTGACTCTCCCACTAGTTAATTGGTTAGTTAGTTTATGAGGAGTCCGGGTGAACTTAATGGGGGGGAAGGGGGAGCCACCTTAGGACCACCAATCAAGACTGGCAGCTCGTCACAGGGCAGGAACGTGAATTGTGTGTGCATTTGGGAAGGGCTTCTGGAGACGTCAAAACATTTTATAAGATCGTTCTCAATCTTAGGCCTCTTTGTTAGGTAGCCGAGAATTGTGCCCATTTCTTTTTTCTTTTTTTCACATGAAAATATTTACTGAGGTCAGCAGAGTTTTGTTTTTAAGGGACTTCCTCCTCCCTGGCAATTCTCAGGAAAGTGCTTGGTCAACTCATTTGGCACAATTTGCCAAGTGTTGCTCTCCGACCCCGCGAAGCATCACTATTCTGTTTTCACCACTTCCCTTTGTTTAGCTTACCCTTTCCTTGGCCGGCAAAAATCAGGCTTCACATGTAAGCTACATGATACACATTCTGATGCTGTGGTTGCTTCCCGAGATGGTGGGGTGATAATTATTGGGCCATATAAGCACGGAGTGTTTGGCTGAATGGAGAACTGGTTATTTTGTTTCTGAGGAGCATGGATCAATGGTGATTTAATTGAAGACTCCCATAGCGCCTGGTCAGAACTAGTAGTCATTCCGCCTAATTTCCATCTTAAATTGCCCACACTAGACACTCCGTTGTTCTTTAATAAAAAAATATCACCGAACTCTAACCTATGGTCGGAATTCTTCAAGTCACGGCGCTCTAACATGATGCCATTGAATTTAAAGCACACTAAAACTTGCATTTATATAAAAATAGCAATGAGTTCAATGAAAGTCATGTTCTTCTATGTCTTGGTAGCCAAGATGGAACATATGGGCTCCAAGCCTCGTCAAACTTTCTTGAAAGAGTCATCAAGATTTTACTCATGGAATGTACTTTTTTTTTTTTTGTCAGTTAGAACTTTTTACATATACTAGGCATTGTTAAGGGAATAGAATTCCCTAAAACATTGTTGGAAGCTTTTCCTTGAAGGGACTGGTTGTCCTCCAGTCAAAAAAAAAAAAAAAAAAAAAAAAAAAAAAAAAAAAAAAAAAATGAAATGTGAGAAGACACTAAAATGGCACTTCCTCACATCAACAGAGGTAGAGAACATCGGCAATATCAGTTTGGTGGATATTTATGGGCACAAAGGTGACCATACCTCTTTGGGCTAATCAGGCTAAGGAGATGGCTCCATTGGTAAAGTGCTTGCTGTACAACACGAAAAACTGAGTTCAAGCACCAACACCCACATAAAAAGTGGGGTGTGGTGGCCCACACTTGTAATCACAATGGAGAGTCGAGACAAAAGAGTCCTTGGGACTCAATGAACAGCAAATCCAGCCTATAGCCTGAGTTCCAGAACAGTGAGAAGTCCTGTTCCAAAAAGTAACGTGGACAGTTCCTGAGGAAAAACCTGAATCTAAAGTCTGGCCTCTCTATATGCTTGGGAGCACACACACATACACTCTAAATAAATAAGCAGATAATAAAAAGCAGGAGCCAAGCAACAAAAGCCAAGTGTGGAAATGCTAATGGTAGGTGAACATATAGAGCAAAGGAAAGGCGGCCTGGCATGAACAGACTAGAAGAAATCATCCATATGCCACTTAGTGGGATTATGGTTACAGGGACACATGCATATCTGTGCAATGTCTTTTTCTAAAAGCCTCCCTTTCTGGCAGTGGAATTGCCAAAAGAGAGCCAAGCAATTAGATAAAGGCACCACTCACTACCCCTTTCAAACGAGTCGGTGGATCTCAGGCCCAATTGCAGACACATTCCCTAGAGGCTGCTTGCATGGGCACAGGCTGAAACAAAGGTTTTATGGCCTTTTTAAAACGTGGCTTTACCGACATGGAAAAAATTACTATGTTGTACTAAATGAAAAGAGGCTATCCAATAATTATAGCACTGTCCAAATCATTACCAAAAGACATGAAAGAACATCATAAAATGTTTCAATGATAGACAATTTAAAATGTATAATTAAAAATTAATTATTGCAAAATATTATAATTGTACATAGACAACTGGTAAAAATCCATCAGCCATGAACCTGATGGCTTTTCTTGTGCCTAGAGTTTTCCATCTTTATCATATATTACTACAATATTTCTGTTTAGCCACGTTTGCTGAATTTCTCAGTAACAAATAACAAGAGCCAAGTCTGGCTATCCTCAGCAGACAGAGAACATAATAGGAAAATTGGATGTTCCCAGAATTGCCCAGAAATCTGGACAACCAGAGAGACAAAGGTCAAGAAGAGTAAGCCCAGACCCTGAATGGACACAGAAATCACCCCCAAATACCACCTTTATGCCACTCTCGGCTCTCTGACTTGTGATCTCCACACCACTCATGCACATTTCAGAGGTGGCAAGCACACATCTCATGCCCATGCCAGTGACTACCAATAGACAGGCTGACATCTTAAGACAAGTGTTATAAGGATGCTAACTTATTGATGCCTTCAGCTCAGGATATCCCTACAGTGGTAGTAGTCCTCAGAGTCCACCCTCCATACAGTATTGATTGAGTCTCTGACATCTCCTTTTTTGCCAATGGCCTGACATGGAGTGGTCAAGAATATACTGTTCTGATGGGAAAAGAACCCTTGGTATAGAGGGTCTTCAATACCAGGAAAGAGGTTCAGACACTGGCCAACTTCATGTATGTCTGTGATAATATACTTCTATCTACTGAAAATTGGCACAAAGTGTGTGCCAAGATCTACAATATGAGTTTAGGGTTTGTATTAGTTACCAGTTGCTGGATAACAAACATCCCCAAATATAGTGGGAAATTACCAATACGGAGTCAGGTAGAAATATAAGGATATTTAATAGGGAAAAGCCTTACTTACAGAGCGACCTAGCCAGCCGGCGTGGGCCACGCCTACTTAGGGGCTGGCTACACCCAAATTTTGTGGCTTAAAATTTATTATTGAACAATATCTATGGAGTGAGTTTCTTCTGTCTTAGTTAGTATTCTATTGCTGTAAAGAAACACCATGACTAAGGCAACTCAAAAGAAAGCATTTAATTGGGGCCTTGCTCACAGTTTTAGAAAGTTTGTCCATGATCACCATGGCAGGAAGCATGACAGCATGCAGTCAGGCACTGTGCTGAAGAAGTAGCTGAGAGCTTACAACTTCATCTGAAATTTGCAGTCTCAGAGAGAGAGACAGAGACAGAGACAGAGAGAGACTGGGCTTGATGTGAGCTTTTGAAACCTCAAAGCCCAACCCCAGTGACATACCTCCTTCAACAAGGCCATACCTCCTAATCCTTTTCAAACAGTCCCACTCACTGGGGACCAGTTATACATTCAAACATATGAGCCTATGGGAGCCATTCTCATTCAAACCACCACACCTTCCCTGTGTCCTCTGCTTCAGACCCTATACTGGCTGGTTTTGTGTGTCAATTTGACATGAGCTAGAGTCATCAGAGAGGAAGGAGCCCCAGTTGAGGAAATGCCTCCATGAGATCCAGCTGTAAGGCATTTTTCTCAATTAGTGATTAGTGGGGGAGGGTCCAGCCCATGGTGGGTCGTACCATCCCTGGGCTGGTGGTCCTGGGTTCTATACGAAAGCAGGCTGGTTTCCGCATCAGCTCCTGTGTTCAAGATCCTGCCCTGTTTGAGTTCCTGTCCTGACTTCTTTCAATGAAGAACAATATGAAAGTATAAGCCAAATAAACCCTTTTCTCCCCAACTTGCTCTTTGGTCATGGTGTTTTGTCCCAGCAATAGAAACCCTAACAAAGACAGATCCTATCTCAGGCATTCAAAGTGTATCAGCTGAGGCTGGGGAAGGAGATACTCCCAAA